TGGTCCATGTTTCCACTTACCAGGGTCCCGTTTTGGGTATCTATGTTTGACCCAGCTTCCATTTGCAGCCACCTGGAAATAGTCCTGTAGTGATAGATTCCTTTTCAAGCCAACGGGGGAAACAAACAAATAGAAGCCAGATGTTCTCGAACAGGGCTTTTAGCATTTCCCCTTTGAGCATCACCAAAAGAAAGTACGTTCAAAGCTCAGGCCTAAAATAGCTTCAATGGGTTCATGAGAAACCAGGAGAAAACAGGGCTTTCTGTGGGTGCCTTACTGACCGCGAAAACGCTATTGCAAGGTGACCCCAAAGGGGAAAGTGTCCTTAATTTCAGGGGAACCAGAATGGCTCCGGTTTCCTTTTGGCTTCCCTTTCAAACAACCCCAAAAAGGGTACCCTCAAAAAGGACGGTCCACCCATGTGAGCCACTGGGCATGGTGCCTAGAAACCTGTAGTTGTCTCAAAACCCAATTTGTGTCATTGTCGAAATACTTGTTAAAGGGAGGCAAGACGCAATAAAAACTGTTTGTTCCCTCAAGAGGGCATGGGAAAATTGTGTGGGTCCCCTGGTCTTTGTGGTTGAACTCCAGTGAGTTCGCCCATGTCCCTCCCAAAAGGACCATCTACTGGACAGCAAAATGGTTGCCATGCCCCCCCCCCAAAAGCGTTTGATTCGAAGTCTCAAAGCGATTCTTCGGGTTCCAACATTCGAGCCTCCCAAGACATATCACGTTTTGGTGCTAAGGAAACATGAAGAAACCCCAGAAAGACAAAGTTAAAACGGTTTGATCTGGCAAGCTTGCTTTTAACCCATCAGATACCATGCCCATCTCCCTGTTTCGGGCGAGAACTACAAAGCTTGGGTCTCGCTCCGTTGCAGAATGTTCCTCTTTGTTCATAGGCGCAACCAAAACTCATCTTGTCCTTTCACTAGGTCCTCCAGTAGAGAGGTTGATTAGAATAAGGGCCCCCTGTTTTCTGTATATATTTTAGTAGGGGAACCCTCCCAACCAAAAAAGGGGGTGAGAAAGGGCACTACTGGGGGACCTAGTTCAAAAATGCTTGCCATGAGGTTCAGTTTGTTTGGCGCGGCCCTGGAAACAGAGGTGCGCCTTCTTCTTTTTTTGCCCTCGGAGGTGCATATTGACTTCTCCCGAAAACAACATTATGCTTGGGTGGTTCAATCATCTGCACAATTCATAAACTTGAATTCGGGGATCCCCTTTTCCTTCAGCATGGGTGAACTCGCTGTATATAGATGAGCCTACCATATCATGCATTAGTGCACAACCATGCCACTGGACAATGATTTCGTTGTCTTATACCTACAAACCCCATTTCAAGGCTATTTCAAGAGGTGCCACACGGAAAACGCCACAAGGCGGCTCTTCTGGGACGCTCATTTGGGGCGTCAAAATACAAGGACCACTATTGATTTCCTTTTGATTTCCCTTCAAACCAACCCCAACAAGGGTGGCAACCCCCCTCAAAAAACATCAAACTTAAACCAACCCGAAAAATGTGCTTTTCCCTCACGCTCATTTGGGTCTGTCGCTTGTTGAGGGTACCCCTTTTGTCGTTGTGGCTAAAAGGGAAAAAAAGGAATCCCTTTTGGGGGGGCAGGGGGAGGGGGGGTTGGGTCCAAATCCCAAAAAAGCCGAGCCGGCCAAGTAAAATGAGCGGAGGTGAGGGGCAACCAACAGCAAAAAAGCAAAAGCAACACTTTCTTCCTTTCTTTTTTTTTGGGGGGGGATCCAAACCCCCTAAAAAAGATAAGGCTCCGCCGTAAAACCCCACCGACCAAAAAATAACTAAAACTCCGGGCGCGCGGGGTAAAACCCATATCGTTTTTGTTCTCGGACGTCGACGTCTCGGGTCCCGGGCCGAGGAGTCTGGCCGCCTTGTCGACGGCCCCGAAGGTCTGGGCCAGGGTGGTGCAGAACCGGCCCAAGGCCTGGCCGAACATCTTCCAGTTCCCGGATCTTCGGGAGTCAGGACCCGTACCCAGAAGAAAACAGAAGGATTCCTCCCCGGTCTCCAAGAAAAGGGGGGGACAACTGCGCTCCCCAAAAAAAGAAGGCAAACAACAACGTGGGTTGGTCCTACCTTTTTTGAAGGGTTTGAGAGCCAAATTCTGGTATCACTGGCCGAAAACAAACAAACATGCCAGGTTTCAGAGGTGCCTTGATCCTGAAATTCATTCCCCAAAGAAATGAGAGACAGCCGGGCCCCCAAATGTGTTGGTGTGACGTTTTGTCTGAGGCTAGCTGGAGAGATGTCCAAGAACCCGGTCACGCTGATCGCCATGAATGAGAGATCGTACGAACGTCAGACGTAGGAAGCCGTAAGATGCAGGTTGACGTATCTAGGATCGCCTTCTTGACCCTTTAAGCATGGGCTCATGACCTCGTTTTGGGTCGTGACCCAAGACCGGTAGATTCTTGAGGGCCCCTTTTCAAACCCCTCTGGGGTGTCCAATGGAGGGTCTGGGTCTTCCATTGGCAGCCCCGGGAGCGTCTGGGCAGGTGAATGCACAAGAGAAAAGCCGAAGCCATCTTTGGGTCAAAGCACAAAACGACACCTACCGCAGCAGAGAAAACCGATCGCTTGGTTCTGGCATGGCGCTCCACACTAAAACCCCCCCCAAAAAGGTAAAAGGGCACTACTGGGGGACCTAGATGGAGATGATCCCAGAGTTCCGCATGGAAAGCCCTAAACCAGGCAGTCGCTTTGCTGAATCTCAGGGCCCAAAGGATGTTGCCCGAAGGGCATGGGAAAACAGGTATGGGTCAAAAAAACCGCCGGAAAACCTGCAGGGTTTTGTCAACTTGTTTGGGCAAGGCACATTGGGGTTACTCGATTTTTGACCTTTGACCCACAGCCACTTGGTTTGGGGAACAAGTATGGGTCAAAATGGACCTACCAGAAGCCACAGATCTTCGTCCAGGTCCTCCATTTGCAATTGCGCAACCCGTTGTGGGGGTATTTTTGACCCACAGTCAGGTGGAGTGCTTTTGGGTTAGGTGGTCCACAAACGGAGGTGGCTGCCAATGTCAGTTACTCATATTGACTCATAGCCATGCTCCCTAAGCCGCTCCCTGCAAGCCGGGACGACTTAAGAAAGAAGTTAGACAACTGGTTCACAGACCCCAAACTGTGCACAACAAAGCTTTAGACGAAAATTGCCCCAGGATGTGATTTCCCAGGACCAAGGAAAGGGTGCGCATTTACTTTGGGTTTTTTTTTCGTTTTTTTTTGGGAATTTTTTTCGTTTTTCGTCCGGGCCAGCAAAATGTCGTATTTTACAGCATTTTCGTGAAATTGACGCATTTTACACTAGCTCGTCAACATCCCCAGCATCGTTTTCAACATCCCCCGCATGTCCGACCAACATCCCTAGCATCACCAACAAATCGTGGGTAACAAAATCCAAAAATCTAGCTGGCGGGTTGACGGGGTCAAAACAATAACGCTTCAAACAGGAGGGCATTTCAATCCCAGCAAAAAAAAATACCAAAAAACAATTAAGAAAAACAGAGCGGGGTAGTGATGATTCGAACAGGGGTGCAATTAAATCTCTGCAAAAAGTCTAAAAAGTAGCGGGGGGGTTGGGGGGGGCGGCAGCCCCCCCCATGATGTTCGAAGAATTGATGATTCAACTAGGGGTGCAATTAATTAAATCTCTGTAGAAAATCTAAAACGTAGCGGGGGGGTTGGGGGGGGGCGGCAGCCCCCCCATGATGTCGGAAGAAGTGGTGATTCAAGTAGGGGTGCAATGATTCAAGAAAGGGTGTGATAGAATTTAACAGGCAGCGGGAGGGTTGGCGGGGGTGGCTTCCCCTATGATGTTCGAAGAAATGCATACATACAGACATACACGGACTACACAGATTACCTAAAATGTCGTATTTTGCAGCATTTTCTCGCGAAATTGGACGCTCGAAAAAGTGATGATTCAAACAGGGGTGCAATTCAATCTCTGCCGGGCCAGTAAAGTGTCGTATTTTACAGCATGTTCTCGCGAAATATACCCGCATGTCCCACCAACATCCCTAGCATCACCAACAAATCGTGTGACGGGGTCAAAGAAATGATGATTCAAGTAGGAGGCCATGTCAATCCCTGTAAAAAATACATAAAAAGTAGCGGGGGGGTTGGGGGGGGCGGCAGCCCCCCCCACGATGTTGTTTGCAGAAGTGATGATTTGAATAGGGGTGCAATTAAATCTCTGCAAAAAGTCTAAAAAGTAGCGGGGGGGTTGGGAGGGGCGGCAGCCCCCCCCCATGATGTTCGAAGAATTGATGATTCAACTAGGGGTGCATCTCTGTAGAAAATCTAAACGTAGCGGGGGGGTTGGGGGGGGCGGCAGCCCCCCCCATGATGTCGGAAGAAGTGGTGATTCAAGCAGGGGTGCAATGATTCAAGAAAGGGTGTGATAGAATTTACAAGGCAGCGGGAGGGTTGGCGGGGGTGGCTTCCCCTATGATGTTCGAAGAAATGCATACATACAAACATACACGGACTACACAGATTACCTAAAAAGTCGTATTTTGCAGCATTTTCTCGCGAAATTGGACGCTCGAAAAAGTGATGATTCAAACAGGGGTGCAATTCAATCTCTGCCGGGCCAGTAAAGTGTCGTATTTTACAGCATGTTCTCGCGAAATATACCCCGCATGTCCCACCAACATCCCTAGCATCACCAACAAATCGTGTGACGGGGTCAAAGAAATGATGATTCAAGTAGGAGGCCATGTCAATCCCTGTAAAAAATATATAAAAAGTAGCGGGGGGGTTGGGGGGGGGGCGGCAGCCCCCCCCACGATGTTGCTTGCAGAAGCGATGATTTGAATAGGGGTGCAATTAAATCTCTGCAAAAAGTCTAAAAAGTAGCGGGGGGGTTAAGGCCGCCCCCCCATGATGGTCGAAGAATTGATGATTCAACTAGGGGTGCAACCCCCCCATGATGTTCGAAGAATTGATGATTCAAGTAGGGGTGCAACTAATTAAATCTCTGCAGAAAATCTAAAACGTAGCGGGGGGGTTGGGGGGGGCGGCAGCCCCCCCCATGATGTCGGAAAAAAGCCACCTGCCGAAGAGGAACTGGGAATGCAGAGGATGCGAAAAGCCAAAAAGCCACCAAAAGCCGCATAAACCAGCAAAAAGCCGAAAAGCCTAGAAGCCCAGAAGCCGAGAAGCCAAGAAGCCGAAAAGCCAAGAAGCCAAGAAGCCAAGAAGCCAAGAAGCCAAGAAGCCAAAAAGCCAAGAAGCCCAGAAGCCGAGAAGCCGAGAAGCCAAGAAGCCAAGAAGCCGAGAAGCCAAGAAGCCAAGAAGCCGAGAAGCCAAGAAGCCAAGAAGCCGAAGCCAAGAAGCCAAGAAGCCAAGAAGCCAAGAAGCCAAGAAGCCAAGAAGCCAAAAGCGAAGAAGCCAAAAGCGAAAAAAAATCCAAAAAAAAAACGAAAAAAATTCCTAAAATAAATACCCCTCCCCAAGGAAATACCACAGGGGTCCTCATACTTCCCATCCCAAACCGACTGCACTTGTCTCAAAAGGTGAACCGTCGGCCTGGGCAAAACAGGCATCCGCAGCCTCATTGGGGCCAGTGATATTGGCAAAATCCAAATCGGTTCGCCCCCAGTGGTTACATCAACCAATCCAACCACTAAAATAGGTTCAAAAATGGGTGGTGAATTCACCTACCCCCAAAAAATAGGTTCTAAAATGGGTGGTGAATTCACCTACCCTAAAAAAATAGGTTCTAAAATGGGTGGTGAATTCATCTACCAGCCAAAATGGGATCCCATTGGTTTTGACCCACAGCCATATTTGAAATTTGGAAGCAGTTGAGGGTAGTTCAGGCAGCCCTCGCGGCCAGGCAATCAAAATTGATTGTTTCACCAAAAACAATGGTGCCTAGAAACCTGTTTGTTGTCCAAACAGGGCCGAAGCCATGAGTCCCGAGTGGCAAGCCGAGAAACCGAGGCGAGCCGAAAGGCCAAGGCCGAGTAAAAGGTAGGCAGGCCCTGAGCGCGAAAAGCACAGAGCATGAAGAATAACAACACGCAGAACTCCGAGAAAAAAACGATTTTTTTGTTTAAAAAGAAGAAAAACAAAAACACCACAACGTGTGTGGCAGGCGTTTTAAGATGCCCCAAAACAAAAACACGACCAAAAGAACAAAAAGCACAAGATGTGGACCATGATGACATGTGGCTGTGGGTCAAAAATAAGTACCCTGGTAAATGGTTTGCCCTGGTAAATGGAACCCAAAGACAAAAAATCCTGCGGTCCTTTTTTCTGGTGGCTTAAGTTTGACCCCATCTTTGGCAGGCCGCAAACCGGCCTCCGCAGTGGCCCAGTCGAGCTCGCAGAGCGTAGCCTGCGGCTGGGTTCCAAGGATCGCTGGGTATCCATACCCGTGTCGTTTGTGTTTTTTTCCATTTTGTGTTTTTCTTGGTGTACGTTTCGTTTCTCTTATCTTTTTTTTCCGGTATACTGCTTTTTGTTTTTTGTTTTTTTCTGCGGTATATCATTTTTCGGTATACTGTTTGGAGGGGTCTTGTTTTCTCCCCGGTATGCTGTTTGGAGTGCTTTAGGGAAGCCAACAGGAATTGAAACCACGCCATGTTGGGGGATGCCCCGTTTTTTGAGACAAACAAGTTTCAAAGTGTTGGGCTTAGGGGATGCGTCGACCACGGATTCCAATCGTGGAATCAAGGTAGGTGCTCAGCCATGACAATAGCTCACTGGGAATCATCATAGTACCCACCTGGACCCTCAAACTACCTGGAGTCTCCATGACCCTTAAAAAATGGGGGCATTACCCAAAATAATGGGGTCATTACCAAAAATAATGGGGTCATTGACCATTTCTTAAGGGTCATGGACCGGTCATGGAGACTCCAGGTATCCATGCAAATTGGATATTGCCTGAAAATCATGGGGTGGTTTCCCTTTCAAATGCTAGTTTGAGGGTCAAATTGCGATCCACTTTCATAAACGTCCGGAAGCCAGCCAATGTTGGACAACCAAATGTCATTCAACTGAAGTAGGGTGCAATGGACGACCCAGACCCTCCATTCGACACGTTAAACAGTCGTCTTTGGATATTGAACGTGTTGGAACAAGGCGGAAAACCGCAAGCAATCAGCTCAACTCAATTGGTGGCTTGGGTTGGTGGTTTGGGGGTTCGGGGATGCTTTCCCATTTACCTCTACAGGAACCAGGGTTTGAAATCCAAAACTGAACCACCAATCCAAGCCCCCAACTAGGGGTTTCCCAAGCAATGGGTTCCTTGGCTTGGTTGCTACATAAACAATTTGGTTGTTCAACCAACCTAAGTAGCTCATATCTATGGTTGTAAGTGGGGCATTTGCGGCTAGTTCCCTTGCAATGTTGACTCCAGATCAATCAACCCTAGTTCATTAACAGGGGGTGTCCCTGGGTTTCTGGGGAATCAACTAGGACGGGTTGATTGATCCGGGGTCAACATTTATGGTTATAGACTACTTAAGCAGCTTCACCAAAGTAAGAAAGGGGCTCACTTGCAGAAACACAAATCCAAAAATAAAACTTGCTGGTGCTCAGTAGGGAATAACCACAGTTTTGGGCATGAACCTGGGGAGTCCTTTAAAGGAAACCAAATCGGATGGATGGTTTATCTCGGGGTCGTTCCATTTCTCATGGCCTGATCGCACCCGCCAGAAACCGAGCCCGATCCTTGCCCATGCCGTCCGCGTCTAGCTCGTGCCAGGCATCCCGCACGTTGCCCCGGTAGTTGATACGCCGGCACCTGAGTCACAATCAAAACCCGGTATTGACATGGTCGATCCCCAGAACCATGCTTCAATAAGAAGGCGGCCGCAACTATTTCTGGCTGGGACTGCCCCTTACTAACCTTCATCTACCCGGGTTTTGATTGTGGCTCACCTCAGCGCGAGCCGAGCGAGAGCGGCGCTTTTTTTTGTTCACCCGACGTGCGCCAGGCGGAATGACTGAGGCATGTCACCACAGTGGCATGCAACACAGTATTATTAAGAACAAACGTATTGGCAAATACAACAACAAACACATAGAGTGATAACGGCAACAACAATATTACACCAGCAGAGACCCCAAACAGTTGAGCACGGGCAAGCACAAACATGCCAACAGCTTGTGGCTTTCTGCTCTTCAACACGAATGAATCAAAATGATCCCGGCACGCGTTGCGTTGCTGCATCCTGGCGTGCTTCACGCTTCAGCGCCGCGCAGGAACTGGGGCAAGCGCGTGCGATAGCGGGCGAGCGCGCGAGCGTGAACGCAAGTGTGGCCGCGCGCTACACACATGTCCAATTCAGACACACATGTGTGTGTGTACATGTGAAACACACATAAGTATACGACTGAAACAGTATACGCGGCACGCGCAGATGTGCACCTGTGAACACACACACATATACATTCACCTGGCACACGCATACATGTGTTGAGCTGGAAAACCAACGTGTGCTTCTTGTAAAGCACACACACACACGTGTACGCCTGGAACGCACATATGTGTTAACCTACAACCCGCTAATGTGTTCACGTGGAACACACATGTGTTCACTTGGAACACAATGAAACGCGTGCCCAAATCAGACACACATGTGTGTACACGTGGAATCACACGTGTGTTCACCTGCAACGCAAACACGTCCGATTAAAGCACACATGTGCGTACATGTGGGACACACATGTGTATACCACTGGAACACAAATATGTGTCCAGGAACACCGCGTGCGCAATTATAGCCCATGGAACACACATATGTGCAGGCGTGAGCAAACATAAATGCTCACCGAAAGCGCGCGCACACACACACACATGCGCGCACCTCGAAAACAATCATGCGTTTTCTGGAGCACACACATGCGCACACCTGGAGAGCAAGTATGTCGTCAGATGCAAAAAATATCCACCTAGCACATAGCAATGTGTTCACGTGGAACACACATCTGTCCACCTGGAACACAAACATGTGTCCAAGTGGAACACACATGTGCGTACACGTGGAACACACTTATGTGTGCACGTGAACACACATATGTGCACACATGAACACTCAAAGAAATGTGCACCCGGAACACACACACACCATTGCGCCAAACCGAAAACAACCGTGTGTTCTCCTGGCACGCAAACACGTGTCCAATTGGAACACACATGTGCGCACACGTGAACACACATATGTGTACACGTGGAACACACACACGAGTGTTCATCTGAAAACACACATGTGTTCACCCCGAGCACATACACGTGTCTGATAAAAACACACATGTGTGTACACGTGAACACACATATATGTGTACACGTGGGAGACACACATGTGCACACGTGAACACACACATGTGCGCAAGGGAACACACACACATGTGTACTGCACACGTGAACACACACTTATGCGCACGCTGAAACACAGACACACACGAGTATTCATCTGATAACAAACGCATATTCTCCTGGAACGCAAACACGTGTCTAGTTGGAACACAGAAGTGTGTACACGTGAACACACGTCTGTGTACACGTGGGACACACATGTGTGTACACGTGAACACAAACATATATATATATATGCACCCGGAACACACACTTACGTGCGTTCATCTGATAACAAACACGTACTCACCTGAAACACAAACACGTGTCCTATTGGAACACACATGTGTGTACACGTGAACACACAAGTGTGTACACGTGGAACACGCAAATGTGTACAAATGAACACACGAAGACCTATACCCACACACCCGTTCATCTGATAACATACATGTGTTCTCCTGGAACACAAACACGTGTCCAGTTGTGTGTGCACACTTGAACACACACATGTGTACACGTTGAACACACATATGCGTACACGTGAACACACATACATCTGCATGCGGAGCAGACACGTGTTCATCTGATAACAAGCATGCGTTCTCCGTTGGAACGCACATGTGATGTGCGCACACGTGAACACACAAATGTGTACACGTGGAACACGCAGATGTGTACACGTGAACACACATATGTGTACACGCAAACACACACATATACGCACACCCGGAACACGCACACACACACACACACACGCGTGTTCGTCTGATAACAAGCATGTGTTCCTGGAAAACAAACACGTGTCCAGTTGGAACGCACATGTGTGCACACTTAAACACAAATGTGTACACGTGGGAGACACACATGTGCACACGTGAACACACATACATGTGCGTGCGGAGCAGACACGCGTTCATCTGATAACAAACACGTGTTCTCCTGGAACACAAACACGTGTCTAGTTGGAACACAGAAGTGTATACACGTGAACACACGTCTGTGTACACGTGGGACAAATATGTGTACACGTGAACACAGAAATGTGTACACGTGGAAAACACATATGTGTACACGCAAACACACACATATACGCACACCCGGAACACGCACACACACACACACACACGCGTGTTCGTCTGATAACAAACATCCTTGACACCCGTCCGATCGCAATTTTGGAGGCCATGCCGCTCACGACCTTAATTGCCCCCGGTCGAGGTCATACGGGATTTTCGAGGTCATTGCATTTTCACGATTCTCACGGCCTGCAAATTTGTTAAGATTCTGGCAGCGTCGTAAAATATCAAAGGGGCCTGCAAAAGGCCCTGCGTTACTGCGCGTCGCGAAATCTCAAGGCAAACGTTGCACGAGCAGCAGTAAGCCGGATCCGACGCGTTGTCATACAGAGGCTGCGGCAATAAGCGCCCGGACAAGTTATAGAAATATACCCCCGTTTGGGCTCCGCGCCGAAGTGACCGGTTTGAGCTGCGCAAGTTTCTGGGCGCCGCCCCTTTGAAAGCGGGCTTGGCCCGAAAACCGCACTGCCCAGCGCCAAAAATGTACTTCCAAAATCCTGGCTCGAAAGTTGCATCTTTTCGTCATCAACCAAGCGCACTCGAATCACGGCCGCGGCCCGGCTCGAAAGACGGAACTAGTTCTTTTAGGCGCCAAAGAAGCGCACCAAAAGCACGACCGCAACACCGGCGCGAAAGTCACAACTTTTCAGCGCCGAAGAAGCACACACGGCGCGACCTCGACATCACGTTTCCTTCCTAGGCTGTGACAACAATCGCATCCGGGAGCATGAGCCGGCCATGCTCAGCATCGCACAGCATCACGCAAATGACGCTGCGTGCAAAAGCGTGTGAAAATCTTTCTTTATCTCGAAGGTGTGGTTCGCGGGGGGGAGGGGGCGGGGGCGCGGTTCAGCACCCGCTGAGCGCCTTGAAAACGCACACCCCAATGCCACACGCAATATTAAGGGTCTCTACTGAACAACTCATATTCGGCTGAAGGAATTTCTCTGATGCGTGAAGAGAACACCCCTTGTTGAGTCAAAGAAGACTGAAGAAGAAACCAAACGGGCTTCCTACTGTAGAAAAAGAGGTTGTGGGGCTAGTCTCCCTTATTGAAAGCAATGTGTGATGGGCGTGTTGCGACTTGCGTTTCGCACTACATGTGAGCGTTGCAGCATGACGTGACTCATATTTGTGCGCTCCGCATGGTCTGTCGCCAGACACGCTTGCCCGCCGGAAAAGAAGCAGCGCAGCCTCCGCAAATCAGATCCGGCCACACATTGGGGGGGATTCTAATGGACCCATTTGCGCTACGCGGAGGGTGCTACTATATGGTTTCTCTCCACCCACTATTTCGTGTTTTTGCAGCACTGCAGAGCAACTTAAGTGGTGCGTCGCTCGGCCTGCAGCCGTTATATGTGGAGCCCAGAATGTGCCTTTTCAGCGCCCGTTATGTCGAAGGCGCCTTTGTTGTTAGGAAAGTTCGCACTATGGGGAAGCCACATGTGTTTTGCCAGCCCAAACTTGCGGGCCTTTCAAAACATGGGCGGGTGCCTTACACTTACAGGACCCGCGTTTTGAAGACCGTTGGGCAAACCACAAGTTTTGAAGACCTTTGGGAAAACCACATGTTTGTGATTTTGGAAGCGGCGCGGGTCTGGATTTCCGCCGCCGCATAACTTCGACATTTTCCTGAAATCTAGGCGAAAACAGCGTGTGATTTCAAAACTTGCCTCGGATCTTCGACTAACGGTTCACGGTTCTGCGGAACCGTTTTGGTACTTGTTGAGTTTGCGCCAAAGCTTTGAAGAACCCTTCGAAGCAATTTTGCGGAGCCCTCCCGAGAACCTGTTTTGCTCGACAAGGTATAGCTGTCCCGAACCCCCCCTCCCATTTCTGTTTCAGATGTGTGAAGCAAGCCTAAAGACCTTGCAACGTGTTTATACTTGGGGTGCCACTTGATCCTGGGATTCAAAAGACCAAAAGAAAGGCCTTTATAGAAAGGGCCTTTGTTTATATGGCTGTTGGAATGGGGTTTGGTGGCGGTTCAAGAGTTCAAACATAGCATTGGTGTTGGTGTTTGCCATGGGGGCCTTGTATCTTGAAGTTTGTCGCCGTCCAAAGGGCTTTCTAGCGAGAGAGAGAGAGAGTGAGATAGGCGTCAATTTAACTTAGTTTCATATTGAAGGCTTGGCTAGCTCTGAGCGCGTTGTACTACGGGCCAATATCCTTCTCGATAATGATATGTCGTTGAAATAACTTATTCTTCTTGACTGCGAGCAAAGAAACTAGCTTGCCACTTACAAGGAATTCACGTTAAGGCAAGGCAACTTGGATATATGTATGATGCGGGGTTTGATTGAATTCGTTTCCATCCGTGCTTGCGAGCGCCAGGCAAAGGCGAGTGATTAGGTTATAGTAGGCGAA